GCCAGGGGGTGGAGAGGCACCCTAGTAGAGTATGTATAAATCGCAAGGGCCCAAGGCCTCCTGCCTCAGCGATGAGGCCCTGACATTCGGTAACAGTTCCAATTACGGAGTGGAGAGCTACTATAAGAGGGAGGCTGAAAGGAAGTTATCATCCGAATATGCCGATGTGGAAGGTGTTGTGACGGAAAAAGGACCTGAAAATCCTTCTTCATCAACCTATTTGACATCACTGACTTTTTTTGAATACTTTCACCCTCGTTGTGGATATTGCGCCCTTGACCCTAGGCGATGTAATGTCATTTGGTCGTCTGACTGCCTTCTTTAACTTTGCACTTGGTATTCGCCCTCACATGATTAAGGCTTACCATGAATTTTTCACTTTCCTATCATGTGACGCTAAACTGCTGACAACGTAACGTTGTTTTACTGAGCCCGACATTCTGTTCTGATTCAACTTACTGCTGTACTATGATTTGACTGTTTATCTTTTGGCCGGCTACTGGGAAAGTTTGTTTGTTGATTTGATTCTGGTGGACAGAGTTTTGGTCCCTTTTGTCGGGAATGTTTTTACTGGTTCTTAGGTACTTGACAGTTGTGTTTGTTGAACCAGTTTGTACCGTATGGTACCCGTTTGTGCCTGAAAATGTTTGGACCGCATAGTCAGCCAACGGTACTGTTGAGGTATTTTTATAATTTTGGTATAACTTATTGTTGCTTTGATAGTACCACAGATTTTGCTACAAATCTACCACAGATTTTGCTGCAAATCTACCACTGATTTACTACAAGCCATGTTTTGACATTTTTCTATCCAACCTTTGTGCGTTACTCGCGGAGGTTCAAGAGCCATACAATAGAACACGGGAACTAGCCAGGTTCGCATCAGTTGGCAACGCCTAGTTATTTCCGTGTTCAGTCCAAGATCACTGGATTTCGGCTCTTACAGGCGTATTTGCGGGGTCACAGGAGAAGCAAGAAGAGGACGTTTTAGAGGACTGTTTTGTTCACACCGCCTCTGGGAGGCCTTTCCCTGCTTTTGATAAACTAGGTCCCCACCAAGAAAGAAAAGCGCCCGTGGATTTCAAGTGGCTGGTGGTACCGTACACAGAAAACCAATTGTTCAACTGGATATCTTTTGTGGATGGTCATCCAAAGACGGATATACACTAGAGAATTCGTTTCTGCAAGTTTTAAAAACATGTCTACTGCTCATTTTCAAACCCCAGAATGTACTCGTAAGTTGGTACAATATTGTTCACGGAGCGCTGCCGCATCTGTCCTGCGGAGCTGCTGATTGTGAATTTGCGGTAAGCCATGTGTATGTAGTAACGACTCTGAGATGGGAAGTGATTCACCTTCTGAAATACGCTGTCGCCTTCTGAAATAAATAAATGAATAGATGTTTTATCCCCGCGTTAAAAAAGATTTTAACATGAGAGAAGCCAGTTTACAGGCTTCATCACTTTGATACATCTCGAAATATCTACAAGACTTGAGCCCTGAGTGGTACTGACTGAATGTCATCAAACTCAGTCAAAAACTGTCAAAGGTCCTGCTAGTTGTGAAATGAACAAATGAATATTACTTTACAGCGTACATAGAGTGTCAAAGTTTAGATAATAATAAATATTGTCTCCACTTAACAGGTTTAACATGAAGGATACCGGTTAACAAGCACCGTTGAATTCATAAGTTTTAGAAGTTTACGAACTGGTATCTAGTATTAAATAATTCACATATCAAGTCACTAGCCTGCATAATATTAAAATTTACTGAAATTCGTGAGACGGAAACGGAGTTCCGCCTCCCATCTCACAGACAATGCAAGCTTAGCGGGCACACTGTTCAATTCAGCAGCGAGAACGGTTTTGGACAGGCTTACAATCCACTAGGGTCACCTGGATTGCTCCGAGGAGGACTCAAATATGGTTAGGAGACAGCTGAATAACAGTAAACTATATTTTGCTTACACTTTCTAACCCTTGTATTTGTAGTCCCTCTCAATGCGGTGCCCCAACCCCACGCCATGTCAACGGTTTATAATGCCCCCTCTATATGTGTAGGTTTCTTGGATTTTCATTAATTTCTTACGTATAAATGTCTTGATGGAATATACACACATACCTGAATGTACCCTTACAGGCAGTGTCATGGACTCGGCCATTGAGACAACTGCAACCCTCTTCCATTGGTATCAATTAACAGAAAACTCTATAAGCCCTTAAGGTACATCTTCTTTCACCTAAGTATCATGTCACCATGTGAAGAAACTGTCTTCCGATCGAGAATATCTCCAGTCCTATCCTTAAGAGACTAAACGATGCTCTGCATCCAAAATTGCGACTGGAGCAGGCTGGCTAGGTTCAGGAAAAATAAATCATATGCAGATCAGTTTGCAATGTTACGCCACACATCACCATAGAACAGAGTACAGAATGGTAGTCAACTCAACTCTACCTCAACTTCATCCATTTTGGAAGGGCCTTCCTTCGACGGTATTGGCCGAGAAGTAATTTAGCAACTGCTTCCACACCACAGTTTTAGTGCCACAAAACTTTATCAACCTCATTCAACGGCTAAATGCCATGCGTTACTATATGTCAAGTGATTCACAATGGAAGGCTCAACGACGTCTTCGAAGTGATGCCAGGATAATATAAGGTTGCCGCCCACTATCATCCATGATCTTCCCGATTGCGGTCGACTGGATTATGCAGCAAACTGTGAGGAGCCAGAGGAGGGGTATACGCTGGCTAGACCCTAGAAAATTTTTGTTTCGCCGATGACTTCTGTCTAATGTCGCACGAACTGGAAGATCTGCAGGCAAAATCCGGTAAGTTGACAGAAGGGGCAGCGAAGAAGGAACTTCAAGTGAATGTAGAGAAGACAGAGGTGACGAAGATACCCAACCAACAACAGCAACGGCAACAAGCATCAGTCACCATAAACGCCAGAAACCTAAAGGAGGTAGTATCTTTCACCTACCTGCCTAGGCGGCATCTTTTCAACTACAGGGAGCGGCGGCACAGATGAGGGCATCAACGCCAGCCAGGAACGGAAAAACAAGACACGCTTTCACTAATCTGAAACCAGTAAAGAGATCTCCTGCACTCAGCGTAGACAGCAAGATCCGGATTCCCAATACTAATGTCAGTCAAGTCGGCGCTTCTATCTGGTTCGGAAACTTGACGCGTTACGAAAAGCATTTCGAACAAACTGCAGACGTTCATCAACAGCTGCCGCCTGTGCCCACTCGATACTGAGGATCAGATGGCCAGAAAGAACAGGTAGCAAGTAACTCTGGCTTCCAACGAACCGACCAGAGGAGAACCTATTGCCAAACAAATATGCGGAAGAAGCAAGGGGAGATGGAGTAGGGATACAATGGGAAGGCCATTCAGAGATATCACGCGCCAGTCCCTCCACTGGAACCTGCATGGTAAACGATAAGTTGGGTGTGAGGGTGACGTGGAGGAAATCATGTGAGGGGGAAATGAGTGCTTCTGAACAGTCGTGGAGCCAGGTTGGATGGACCGCAGAGAAGACAGTGAAACGGGGACTTGCTACTTAAGCCGTATGTTCCACTAGGAACCCATGGGACAGATGGATATTACGATATTTAAAAACCTTGCTGTTGCTCAAAACTGAATTTCACGAGTATTTTTTATTTACCACCCAACATACCTCTGCTCTTCCTTTTCCTACAAGCAAAAGAAGTTCAACCTTCCTGCCTGATTGCTGCCATGGCCTGGCAGCTGAGATAACCAAAGTCTACCCTGTAAATTACTGAGCATTTCTTTCCCATAGTGCATGCATAAATTCTTCTGCAGTTGCTTTTTGAGTGTATTTACGCATATGCCGATTCTGATTATTATGAAATCCATCGTTTCCGTGCTTAACGGGATTATCCCTTATGTATTCGGCGTAAAATTTCCCGTAGACTATCGGGTTGCCGGCAGTCACTAACTCCGTAATCCACTTGGGAGACGTCTGCCAGTTACCACGTTCAGTAACTGCCTCGTTTCTTCAAGATACGTAAACTGGAAACGCAAGCGGCCTGCTCACAGACATCTCCCCAGAGGCGGTCGACTGATGACGGATAGTAATGGGTCCCTGTCGTCCTTGAACGCCTCAAGAACCTTAACGAAGAGAGCACTTCGGCTTGTGTGAAGGTGGTTAATTCGGTAGAGGACATGCAGCGTACCTGAATTATCCTCTGAACATACGGCAATCATGCCCCCATCCACACCCCCTCTGTCATCTTGTCGTAGCATGCCCCCTTGAAGAGAAGAAAGAAACTATTTATTCATTGGCATTCGCTCACATGAGATCAGTAGGTGACTGCTTTACAGGCATGAGGTTCTATTCTTCTCCACACAACTTCAGCTCATCGGTACCTCTTTGTTACGAAAGCACACATTTTTCACCTTGCACCAGCGCTAATACAAATAAAACGTGTCATGGAGCTCCAAACAGGTAGAACCCAAACCTCCAGGGGTGACAACAGAGACGTGGTGTGTCAGTTAGAGTTATGACTTCTGTACAACAAAATCATACGATGTTTGAGAGCACTATTCCGGCAGTCACCACACTGCACAAAAACATATGAATAGAAAAATAGAAGGCAGCTTCTACACGATGTGCAACAGTTTCCTTAGGTGCATCTATTCTGCTCTCGTAATCTTTGTGCCTTCAGTTACCATTACAAATGCTTTAAGTATGTGAGGCATTACGCGTACCGTAGAAGCGACTGCCTCTTTGCTTACTTGCCTGGTAGGACCTCAAAAAGTAGTTGGCAGAATCGAAGAAGCTTTCTGTCACTTAGCTGGTGTGTATATAAAGAGAAAACAGCATAACTGAGGCCCTTTTCCTTCCTAACCAAAGGTCGCAGCTTTTGTTAGATTGAACTCCCGGCGTTCAAACACGTCTTCCTAGATTTCTCATAGCTGTAAGGTCCTACTGACTTTGTGTTGTCAGAACCCCGCTGAACTACCACATACCCACTCCGAAAGCAGCCATCTTGACCCTGACGTGTGACGTTTTTGAGTTTCACGGATTTCGACTGGGTACTTTCCGTAAGAGTTCTTGCCTGATCTTTACCAGTAAGTAAATGAGTGCGAACGCGGAGTCCCAAACATCCTCTGTGCATGTTTTGCAAAGAAACCATGAAAATCAATATCCAAACAATGTTTTCCTACTGCACGCACTCAGTAGCCCAGCCACAGAGTGAAAATAAGTTTTGATCAGTGCGGATGCCCAATCATCAAGTAAGTAAAGATACAAGCAGCAAGTGATTTTAGATTGCACATTAGCATCCACAAGAATAACAACAAAACTGTCTTCAACATACAGAAGGAAAAAGTGGACATGACATTATCCAAACTCACTTATGGATGGTGACAACTAACTACTTTTCCTCAGCCGTTCCACCGCCTGTCCACTGTTTGGAAAGAACGCTTTACTTTCGTATACAGTGTTTATGGCGACATACTCAACAGAACACCGACTCAGTATAAGTTCATATTGATTATTGGGAAATTACCCCTAATGATGCGCCAATGCTGTTAAAAACAATGACAGGTTAGTCAGCACACAGAGAGCCTGACACTGATATATTTAGTATAACGGAGTCCAGCAGGTTAAAATACCCCATGAGAATGTTGGACTCTTGGGTAAAACAACACAATGAATAGAGAGATTGGTTAAAATTAAGCCTAAAACACCCATGTTTCACACCATTTGAAAGAAATAATGACCACGGATGCCAGCCACGACACATTGTACTGATACAAAAACATGCCAGATACAGATGGTGCAACGATGGCAAGGAAAGAGTCTGATGGAGCTGGGACTTAATGCGAGGCTGCGGTAAAGCCAAAAGTCAAGGCCTTTTAAGGCAGCTTGATGGAATTCTTCTTGAGCCACCCTGCTCGTTTCCTCCGCATATCATGAATTTCCCGGCAGTTAAATATTGCGTTTCTGGCCCACCCGACGACAACGTGAGTCCGGAAGCCGAATGAACCAACATTCGTAATAACCACTGAATACTAAGATTTATACCACATTGGAGGCGGTATAACTAACTCCATAACCATTTGGCATCAACCCACAAACGCTTTAGATTGCATGGACACAGAATCTGACCCCATTTACGGGAGACTGACAGGGCTCAGAACTGGTATGCATCCTGATACTGATATTACTTACTCTAATATACTGAAAGCAACATCAAACGTACCAAAGACGCAACTTAGTATGCTTTCCACTCTGTCATGATGCTATGGAAACTCTCCCCAATCATGGAGGGCTGGAAGAACTACTTCGGTGTTTGAAATCAGTACGTGGTACGACCAGGCGAACTGCACATTAGCACACGTACTTTCTTGCACTTATAAAGTACTAGAAGCCTCAGCTCATCTTGGCTCATTCGGTTCTCTAGCAAACATACAGTTTACTAGCAGCATATATCATGAGCCCTTAAAAACCAGCTCCTGTGTGACCAAACTGCATGTGGTACATAATCCGAAAACAGTCACAGGTGTTATCAAAACCCAGGTCCAGATACAGCCCATTGAAACTTTGGGAGGATTTTCGACGGCACCAACCACAACCACTTGCCCCCAATAACGAGTATTGCAGCTGTCAACTTCTTACAACTTCTAGCTTCTTTCGGCCTTTAACCCGATAAATACGGATTCATAGAGATATTCAGTCTGTCACTACTGTCACATGGAGTCCAACGCTAGGTCTCTCTTTGCCTAAACTTCGCAATATGATATTTCGGAGATCCTGTAACCGCCACCGGTATTGTTTGTGTATGACTTGAAGGTTCTGAGCATAAAAGACTGTGATACAATCCGGGTTGAGTTAACGGGAACGGTCCAGTGAGCATCAGAAAGCTACCTAGAATTCAGCACAACCGCGTGTAAGCTGATGCTCACCAGTAGCTTCATTGACCATGAGTGTACTTTAGCAGTAAATTGTCACCGAATGGTAGTGGTGACACAGACCTAGGAGTAAGCGTAGAATACAAATTAACCATTTCTATCCATAACCCTGATCAGGCCAAGAAAGTCAACTTCAGCTTAATGCCATTCGAAGCACTTGGAAGATTCGTGGATGACAGATTCCAAACCTTCCGCACTACCGGTGTCCGCCTAGATCTCGAACACTGGACCACCACATGCAAACCCCTTTTGAAAGAGAACAAGCACCTACAAGGGTAAAAGGACGGTGGCTAAAATGTCATGAATTCCCTAATATACCCTTATGAGGGAAAAACAGTGCCAAGACCATTCAACAATGAAAAAAGTGCAAACACGGAGCTGGCCTAGTAGGCTAAACTTTAAAGTAGAAGCCCATGAACACCTTAACCCTCTACACGGTCTAGCCAAGGGGAACGACCACAGTAGACGGACACGGAGCTTCAGAAATTTGAAACTACTTCCCAGTAAGTATAATCCCAGCTCTTACCCCTAATATCGCAACCCGGAAAGCCAAAGCACAAGCGGCAGAAATGACTCACCACTCAGCGTTCCAGAGTTTGTGATACCTAACCACCCAATAAAATGAGGCTCCATCTGACAGTCGACAATCCGCAAGCCCTGAAAAACCAAAATTGAATGTTGGACCGCACCCTATATAATATTGTTCTCCTTATTATGGTTCCCTTTCTTGTCTTCCCTGAACCTACCAGGGTTTCTCACACTCTTCCGTTCGGCGTCTTTTCACCTTGTTCTTTAGCACTTCCTCTCACTTGATTTCATCGGAATTCTTTTCTCCCTTACCACCTTGTTTTTGCAACCAATCCGAACTGATGTCCGATGACATGAAATTCGGTGAACCTATCAGCTTCACAGCCCTTGCAAATTTATTGTTTGTTGCTTGTAAATGAACGTTGATATACTTGGACGAATTGCTTGGCCACTGCTGATAAGCGGGTTCTGTTGAGGATGCCTCGACATTGCCGAATATCCAAGACGCTTCACTAATCTAAGTGACTTGCAGTCAAATCCAGGACGCCCACTCCATCCAGTTTGAGACTCGTCAGCTGGATGCACTGCCGCTCCAGTGAGTGATATTGTTCCGACTAAGACCCGAAGCCGGCACCCGTTTCGTCAGGCTCCATGGCGTTTTCTGCCAAGCCACCGAGGCACGAGGCAAATACAACATCATGGACATTCGGCGGTACCATAGCGTCTGCGTACAACCCATTCTGCTAGCAGAAGTTTGAAGCACTGGGTACGGGGTCCGAGTCCCAGACATAAACACCTTCACTTAATGGCGTGCAGGCATGTACGACCGAAAAGTCCTGAATAGGGATAAAGGTGCGTCCTGCATTCCATCGTGAGTCACCAAGATGAATGTAACCCCACAAATTTATTCAAAAGCTGACCGACTGTCGGGGCATACCAGAGCCACAGTAGACAATCGGGTAGACCTACTAGTTCGGAATCGGTAGGGGATTGGAATACCCTACGCAAGGCCTAGAAGCAAGCGCAAGGAAACCATTTGCTTTGCAGAAGCCTGTGCAAAGATAAAATATGCATTCGAAAAGATAATCACTACCTCTAGTGCTGTTAGCGGGTAAACCATAAGGACTTCAGAAGCTATCGAAGGATCATAACTGAATAAATATAACCGAGCCTCAAGACCAAGAAGTGGGAGCTTAGGTACAGAAAGTTTCCTCATCACGCACTATCGATTTTGGACGATTGGTATTGTATATTGAATTGGGGAAAGACGTATCCTGAAAGACTTAAACACCTCAACCTATTTACCTTGGGTTATCGCAGGAAAAGGGGTGACCTCATTAGGGCGTACAAGATCACCCATCAGGAAGACCATGCAAACAAATCAATTTTGCCTGCAACTCAACGATCTTCACGAGGAAACCCCATTAAGATAGCACACCAGAGAGCCAACACCATACTCAAGTCCAAATTCTTCTCCCTAAGAGTATGTGCTTTATGGAATGCCTCGCCACGACATATCGTTATAGCTCCCTCAGCCAACTCATTCAAGAGACGATTAGACAGTTATGTCACCTCGCATGGACTACCTCGGACGTACTCAGGTAGTCACCATCCTCACTAGCCCTCAACGCCCTCCTAACTACCACCCACCATCTCCCTCCTTAGTACACCCACATTACCTGATAATTCTTCTATAGGAACCAAACCCATACGACCATTCACGCAATTCCCAAATACGTTTCTTTCGTTCTTGCTTCTCTTTTTCACCCTTCCTTTTCTTCTCCTTCCCCTTTCTCCTCCCTCATTGTTATTTTTTCTTCTTTCTTCTCTTTTCCTTTATTCTCTCTTCATTCTTTCACCACTACCTTACTATTCTCTTTCAGGTACCTACACAGACAGGAGTCACGGCAGTTCTCTAAACTTCCCAGCAGCCTGTAGCTCCCTAACCACTCTACAAATTACAACCTACTAACCCACAAAACATCCACCCCACCGAAGCTAAAAGCAAGAAAGCAGAGGGTATTTCCTAGTCCACTGCAGGAGTAAACTGAACAACTGGAACCAAGCCCTAAGAACTAGACGCGAGAGATCAAAAACTACTAGTTTTCTACGCTCGCACTATCAATATTGGATATTGGAACCAAGTCCCTGTATTACTCGTCTACTAACAAGTCTAAGCAACACCCTATTGCTGACTAGAATTACCTGAACAACGGTAGGGAATAAGATGGATCTATCCCGTTAAGATCCTCTTTATGCCTGTAGGCAAGCGAGAACGAGCCAACTAGTCTGTACTCGCCCACATATCAGGATTTGTCCCTTCCCGCTGATTACAAGTAGAGACGCTACTGTATTCGTATGAGCACAGGTGATTCTAACCTTTTGTGTACTAAGTTAAACAGAAACTAAGTCTTTGAAAAGAAAGTCTGAAGAACCTGTTAGTGATCAGGTTCCTGTTAAACAAACTGATAAGTTGGAAGAAGTTCCAAGACGTCCCACAATTATAAGTCCCATCAAACTAAACATACCCGCACAGGTTGGGTAGTATTACTAATATCGTGTAGATTCCCTCCTCAGGAAGTTTTACCAGAGATTCCAAAGAAAGTTGATGACAAGATTCGTGAGATCTTTAATTCTGATGAAGAAGTGAGTTTGTTAGATGTCAAAGTATACTCGTCTTCAGAGTGAAGAAGAGGAGATCCCAACGGAAGCCAGAATACGGATGCGCAATTTAGGAAGGTATTTTTATTATATTTTGTCGTAGGTTTTCTGTGTTCGCATCCTTATGGAATGACGATTCCGTAGCCTAATTCGTTCGCTGTATGGTTGCACATCACCGCTTCTATTGCTTAAGCTGTTGGTAGTTTGAAAATTCTTGGATGTGCTTGCGAGGTGATTTTCACCCCCGCAGTAGAGCCTTCTACAAGTTTAGCACACTATATATCGATTCAAAGCAGCAGCATGTTGGCGGGTAATAGGTTTGTTACAGATGGTCTGTCACTACAAATGTCTGAAAAGTAACCGAAGTATTCAACGCAGAATGATCCTTTACATCACATTTCAGTTTAAGCCGAATGATGTTCTTCATATGACTTGGCCGTAGCTGCTATGTCTCGCTTTTGTTACATGCAAGTCTATATTCCTGCTCCACCTACCAGTACAAATTGGTATTATCATACGCCCCCATACATTGTGACAAGTAGCCTACTTTATAAACCTGTACATAGTTAAACTGCACCAAGTAACTATACTAGCGTCCTGGAATTAGTCTGCGCTAAATATAACTTAATTTGAACAATCTCATTCCTTACCTGAGTTGAGTCAGCTATATCGGGTTAGTTACTGAATAAACCTCATCACATAAACGGAAGACTTATGTGACTCGTTAACGTGGCATCTCTGAACTCTGCCAGATATTTTACCGTTTGTCAAGAAAAGACTGTGCTGCACGGTAGTTCGCATTAAAACCGACTAAGCCAGCCGTTAAAAGTAATTGGTTTCCAAGGTGTTTCAGGTTCTTGTGAGACCGCTTCTGGTTTGTCTCAGAAGGGGTGAGCAAAGTCGAGTTTTGCGCAGTGATAGGCTAGTGAAGCAAGGCATTATGGGTGGGACTGTGGGCTTGAACCAGTCGAGATGACTGAAAAACATGTCACGCGTGCCCAGTCATCACCTTGCCCAGAGGTTGTGTCAACTTGTGTATTACCAAGTTGGAAGGAGACGAAAGGTGGCCGGGCGGGGACCTGAAAGTGGCTGACAAAGTTTCTGACTTGAATGAAGTCGCCCAAGTGCTTCGAACCATTGATTCGAGATTTGGTGTCAGGATCAGAATTGAGCAACGTTGCACAGATGCGAATTTTCAGGATTCGTTTGTTCACCCTCTCATATCCTTCCTCTCTATTCCACTATCATCTATCGTTTCATCACATTCCACGTTGATCTGTTTATTTACGCTCTGTATCCACAATATCGATCTGGGGGTTCAGTTACGACAAAAACTGGAATACTTTCCCTTTGGGTCTTGTTTAGCATGTCTCTGCCACACCTTAATTAGCCATACCTAATCCACTTACAGTACGCAAACAGCAGTCCTGAAAACTACAGTCGTTTGAAGGCCGTAAAGGACGATGTGGGGAAGTCAGACGATTCTGTACTCAATAGACAACCTCATTCAGTCAGCGTGGAACCTGACATTATTACGTAACTGTCCCTGTTGGTGCACCCTTATCAGCGTATCGAAGTAGAAGGCGATACGAGAAAAGATAGGGAAATAGAAGAGAAAGTCATCAAAAGCAGTAAAGTCGTGCAAATAGAGAAAGAGACAGGACAAAACTGTGACAGACAAGATGAGGATATTGTGTGGATGCATTCACATATCATGTAGAGTCTTCAGTTATTGGTTTCTGTTGTCACGCAGACTCCAACAGGGAAGTTTGCTTTCTAGACTGCTCAGGTCAATAGGAAAGCACTTGATTATGTAGTGCCATATTTCGCACTGGCCACATCTAACTTTTCTTCAGTCTATACCCCCTTCAGTTGGCGTTGCTTGCAGACGTAGACTTTGACTTAGAACGTGTAACACATGTCCCAGCCATGCAAGTCGATCGAGGTTCACAATCTCTTCTATCTAAAACTTTGCGTCTAACCTATACGTTGCCAACGTGGTTTACCTAACAAGACTGTGTCACTTGCGTACTCTGGGTCTACTAAAAAGTCTTCTGTAACGAGGTCAACACCCTTATGGCAAGACAAGAAGAGAGATCTCTCCAAGTGAATGTACATCAGAACTAAATATGGATGTAGATAATAAACATACTTGACGGATACCATTTGATATGCACAACTCATCTAATACCTCTAACACGCTCACGGATGTTCAAACACAAAGCCTTCAATAGAGTGATGTACTTCCGCAGTACCCCCTTCAGTGACAGACTGTCATAAGGCCTCTCGATTAGTATATTCAAATACCACCTGCAGGTCAAGGAATATATATACTGTCAGGGATCAGTGGAGGGGGGTGGGGGTGGAAGGGGGCTGTATATCCGGTGGATACACTTACGAAGTTACAAGGTTCAGCGCATTCACTAGCTTCTCATATTGGTCGCCATTCAATTCCGAAAAAGGTGTTACGTAGTAAAGTTGCGGCTCCTTTGTTCTTTGTCAACTCAAGCATGCTAATGCTTATCCTTACTTGAAGTATTCTGTAACCCTTCAATGTATTTTAATACACACCTATGAACTGTGGTAGCCGAGAATACGTGGAACCCATAAGCATTTCGTAGACTGGCATCTTAAGTGTGTCTGTATGTGTAAGTATGTGATGGAAGCGAGTTGGCAGTGTTGAGATCGTTATTGTCACTTCTTTGGTCATCTTGTAACATTGTTACATATCGCTCCTTTATTGTGCTATAGCTATTTCTGTAGCGTCATTAATTTCAGTTCTTTGTACACGCTGTTGATGCATTAGTGTGCCAACCCTGAGTGATAACATAAAACGGAAGGATGGAACTCACACGCTACGTCGACCCAAAAACAAGCGTAAAGATTCATCCTAGCAGCAGCGAATGGCTTCGTGACAGTTGTTTGTCTGTTCTAAAAGTTGTATTTGAATGAGGTTCTATGACATGGATTTGATTTCGATTTCAAAGGTGTTGTTTTGACAGCCTCTGTGACATCTCAGAGTGCCGGAAGGTGTCACTAAATCCTAAGCAATCGTCTCGTCTTTATGCTATCCCTCATGTTTCAATTAGTTTTCATCAACGTGGGATTTCTACTCTTTATTCTTTTTCACCTACTTTAGTTATTCATTCGCCGTTTATTTCCTAGATGACTGAAAAGAACTTGTTTCTCAGCTAGTAAACAGTAAAATGTTTTCTGGTCCTTTCGGTGTTGGAGGTATCACTTTACATTGGTCTTTACAGAACTACGGAGCCTCCTTGTTGCTAGTGCGTGAAAATTAGGATACGTTGGGGAGTCATTATTCCTATTGTGAGCAAACATCGTAGTGACGGCCTCGTACTCATTATCAGATGATCTAATCTTTTTACCTATAGTGATTCATTTTGTGAATTATGCTCCATACACTTTCCTGCAATTTTGCTTACTTTAAAAACATAGCTAATATTTTCTTATGTGAAGTCATTTTTTACCTCGAAACCACACCATCAAACTAATATTCGCACTTTCAGCATTCAAACCCGATGTCGCATGTAACTAATTGAAACTCCAACATAATAGACCATCGATGTATATTGTTTCTGAGACGTTCGTACGAAAGTTATGTGTATTTATTTAGCTGACTTTACCTATCAGATATGTCGAAGCCATACCATTCATCTTACGCATTTATGGAGTTATGATGGTAAATTCCTATGGGATCAGAGATACAGAAGCTCCAACATATGTTGTTGTGAAGATCCGTGAAAATAACAAGACAGTATGATTCAAGCCTTTTAGCTTAAATAAGGCCAAGTAATTCGAGTTGACCGTTAGTAGAAGCATATATCACTATATTGAAAGGATGTGCAGTAGGAAAAAAATACATAGATGTTGTGTAATGATTGACAGATGAAGTCAAAATCTGGGTCACGTTAAAACTCGAATCAACAGCTTCCGGGTTGTTATTCACGTACGCCAAATATATTCCTTCATAGGACTAAATTAATTAAGGTCTTATGGCATTGTTTGGTTTACACATAATGGCCGATCGGATATGCTGCTTAAGGCTCACACCTAACCGATTCTCGATGTTCGTATAATACTGCGTTTGGAAAATGTATGGGTTTTATCCCCTGTCGAAAGACCTTACAGTAAACAAATAACGTAGTCTGCGGGGCGGATGTACTGGAGAAAGCGTCTCTGATGCTGGCTCACACGAAAAGATACTTTGAGGTATTATCTTCACAAACAAAAAGGCTTTAGTCTAAAATTCAGCAGAAGGTTTCGGTCTGACGTAGCGGGGGATACCGGTTCAATACTACCGAAATGTAACAAATTGAGAACAGTTACCCTCACCCACCAACTTTGACGAATCCATTGTAAATCGAAAGACGAGTTGCTGTCCGTTTGTAACCTTTCAGTTTGTTACTGTTTCTTAAATGTCCTGATTTTCGTTCGATGTATGTCTCACATGTAACCTTTTGCGCTTTCATGACCGGTTGTTAGCTGATCGAACACATCACAAAAATGAGACGATTAACAGCCATGTGGTGCAAACACAGAGTCTCTTCAATATTTTTTGAATGAGGCACGATTTTTTCCATGTTCGTTAATTCAGAAAGTATGGTCATAATTCGAAGGAATCTTGAGCAGTTGTAATGAAATGTATGAACTATAATAACCATTGAATAGCCACTATTCGTAAAGCAAACTGAACATTCTAGGTAAATGATAATAACCAAATGAAGATTTTTGATATGCCCAGCATGTTTTCAGACAGATTGTGAATACACATGGTTAATTTTTTTCAGATATACTCCAACATCCTGCGGACCGAATTCCTTTGGGAAAGGAAGATTTGGTTTTGTTGATCGAAGAGCATTACTTAACAGACAAACAGAGGCGTTAAATGCAGCCGTTTCAGAGGAGAACAATCGTTGAAAACTCATTCAGGAATTATCGGTATGACTACTTACCAAGCAGGTAAATTAGGAATACTACTTGGTTCTACATCGTATGTTAATAACCATTCGCACACTATGTATAAAACAAACAAAAACAAAGACGTAACTGTACTTATGTTGTCTAATTTTGATTACTTTCTTTCTTGTTAAAAATCACTAAACATTCATCATATTCATGTCAATTCTTTTCTTCGTGTTTTTTCGGTGATGGCTAAGCAAAGCTAAAAGTAGGGCAGCTGAAACGCGTGAATTCAGATCAGCAGTTTCAACATCATGATAGGACGGGACATCACCCCATCGGTGAACCTATAAAAGAAAAATATAAAAAGTAATCTACGATACTGAAAGTGGACATAAGCATACGGTTTATACCGTAGACTCGAGATTCGTGTGCTTATACTCTTTATTTAAATTTATGAAGCTCACGATAAATATAAAACTGCATATGATGCACCTTCTAGTACCTGTCTGATTAGTAGTTCATGAGAGGTTCACTTCAGGTTAAAATACTGAGTGACTGAAAATAATCCAAATCATGATAATGAAAGGGTATACTATTGGAGAAATTCTTATTTTGTAAACAGAGATAATTTCTTTGTAAAGAAAATTTTACGAATAATACTTTTCTTTCTGTGTTAATGGTACATAGCAGCTTAACAGAGAGCTGTTTTTGTTGCACCGAAAATGCACATACACTTCACAACTTGCTTTTTTGATGAAGATAACATTTTATAGCGATTTCTCTTTGCTCGCAGCAAGGCGAACGGTTAACTAATAATCACTTCCTAGAACTGTTAACCCCTGAAACACATTCATGAAGTGAACCATGTTTTTGTCGATCTAAACTGCTTGAAACTCTCACAAAACACGGTCGTCTTCAATTTTCTCTCCAGCATTCAGCTCATCAGCAAGTACGAAACTTGTGGTTTACATGTGCCTACAATGATAGCATCATGATTGTGCGTCAATTCCGGTGGCGTACAGCAGCAGTTCAACCTACAGTCACTTCAGAACTCACCGGTAATCTAACTGTTGTATTGTACTTCATTAACTATCGGATGAGCTTTTTCAGAGCTTACTTCCCGAGGTTCTCCAAAACAATAATTTCCCATCTAGATGAGGTATTCTTCTAGCCTGCTTTCACTGTTACTAAACAAAGCGATACTTATTCTGAAAGGGTAATGCTAAACTAGAAACATGACGAATCGGTTCCGTCATTAGAAATATGTTGTTGGTCTGTTAAACTGCAGACAAGGTTACAAACCAATAAATTATCATTAATTTCAGGTTGGTATCTGACTCAGTGGCTCAATGTTAACGTGCTGGCCGTGGAACCTTAAGGTCCTAGGGTTAGATCTCTGGCTAGCTGCGCAATGTCCAGGAGTCCCATACTAGGATAAAACAGATGTGCAGTTCTCCCAGATTTCCAATGATGAATACCAACCTGAAATTAAATAAATCCTCACAAATGTATAACATTGCTGAAAATACCCATCAGAATATTACAAGAAGTTCAGCGAAGATGCCTTCTTCGGTGATTTCATTCTTTAAAGCTGCACAATCACAACTTATATATTTTTGTTTAACTTTTTTGGATAGTTGTTACAAGAACTACTTAACTAAACGTAGTAACAAAGACCGAGTTGTATGAAGACTAGAAATTCACGTGTGATGTCAGGTGAAAATTAATTCCAAAAGAGCATAGAAACCAACATAATTAATCGAATAGAACATAAAGTTGCATAATGTGTGAAAATGGTTTTCAAGAGACAGCATGATTAAGAGTAGTATAGAAACAGAATGGAGACAATATTGGGTTATTAAAATACATCATAAAGTACAACAAAATTGTGAATAATAAGATAGAGATTCACATACTGTTAGCAGTTTACTAAGTTCAAGATCGCAGTTAAGGTTGTATAAGTTTCTTTCGTAAAAATAATTTCCGTTTCTCCATACATATGGCATGAGATTTTTCACTACAGGAAAGGGGAGAACTCATGAGTTTTGGTAAATTTATTTTCACCTTAAATATGACTTTGAACGTTGAATCCGCTGTGATGCTGTGACCAGTGTTGACACGGTATTCAATTATTAAACTTCCGATGGATCCACTCGCACCTCTTTGAAGCCCTGCAAGGGAATGTTCTCCAATCCATTTGGAAAGAATGCGCATTGAACGACCTATATATCTGGTTCCACAAAAGCAGGTGAATTGATGAATACACATGAAAGTCGTCAGATGCGGAAGCCTATATTTCGGGTGGTCAAGAAGCATTGGGCAACCGGAGGATATTATCTTCATAGTTGACATAAAGAAAGTTTTCTGTAGCAAGGTTGAAATCCTTATTTGTGAGATGTCAGCAGCGAAGTCACCTTTCAAGTCAAGATTTATATAAAATGTGTCCTTCGGGACTGTAATGGATATTGCCCATTGTGGTTTTGGTCTTCTGCTTTTGTCCACAAGTGGGTGAGTGGTGATGGATATCCATTTTCAACCAAAACAATAAATCTGTCTCAAGAAGAGTGGTGGTAGAATCGGAGAAAGCCACTAAGCAAGGAGTTCGTACATCAAAATTGATGTACGATAAACGAAACTTATTCAAATGTTTGGTCCATTGGCCAAGACTTATCTTTTCAGATGATTCTTTCGATGAAGAACTTCAAATTATCCATGATCTACTCAGTAGTGGATGGATATTCAGAAAAGTATCTAGCTACAAGTATAGACATATTTAATATGAAAACCGGATTACCAACAGTTTCCAAGAAACCGCTGTTCCTAAGACTGCAATTTCGGAGTGAAATCCTCAGCGAAATTGTGACACAGCGACTAAGAAATGCCATAAGGAGATCCTTTAATGTAGCGAAGTTGTGTCTTGTATTCTACGGTTGGTCGATGATGACCACGCGAACCAAAGACAGAGTACCTGACTTCGCCTCTTCTATTTGCACTTACCGGTTCAAATAATCTTTTGGAGCTAGTTACATTGGCCGTACAGTTAGGCAAGTCCGCCATCGAATTCCCGATAATCATCCTTCATCATTAGGTAAACGGAAAAGAAGATAGATGTAGAGCTCAATACTGTCCCATCTGGTTGACACTGGCCACCTAGTAAGTATTCAAAACCCCTTTATAAATATTTATCACATTCCTTCTAATCTCATCCGTGCTCTACGAGTTCATCTTTCACACACACACACACACCAGAAGTCGTCGAAATCCACCTAAACAAGTCGAGTCTGTGTTCAGAAGAAATTCGTACAGCCTCTTTCTTTGTCTTAGCTGTCTGTACGGCTTATTTACTAAAGCCAGACCCTTCCTTTCATCCATCCCACAAATGATCATAATAGTCACTTGAATACTTCTAACATTATTATTACCACTTTAATGATTACAGTTTTATGTTGATAATGATGATGATGATGTTTTAGGCATCTGGTTCTCCCTCGTGTTGCCTTTAATTACCGTCAACAACTGACCACGTGGCGCAACAAAATATCGATTCCACAACAACCTGTCTGGAATTTCACAAATTTCCTCTACTATAATAAGTCTATGCTTTCGTTGTCTTATTTACTTGATCAATTATTACCCCGTTGATACTTTGAGATTGATAATCTGTTAGTAAACAACTCTCACCACTAGACTGATATGTAATTTTATATTTTGCCAAAGATATATATATATATATATATATATATATATATATATATATATATATATATATATATTAGTGTGGAGCCATTGATGGGGAACTGATTGAAAGGAAATATTTTTTCCGCCCACATTACTTGTTTTTCTATAACTGTTGTAGACAGCCGAACGTATTATTTTATTATGCAACTCTGTACTTGTAGAAGCTGGTAAATATTGACAATCTCTGTTAAGACATTCAGTACCTTAGTGTGAATATCAAAAGCGTTCATTGTTCATATTTCTTTCTAATCCCTAAAATATCTGCTTCTACCGTTTTCATACACCTCGAAAAATATCAGTCGCACATAGTTTTACAAGTGAAAAAAAAGAGGATCTTCTCAGGCAATACAAATTTTATGGTTTCCTGAGATTATCTTCCAGGAAGAATCTTTTATCAATGAGAACTGACTGTACAATCATGAGTTAAGATGGTGTCGCGACACTAATTCGACAGTACACAAACATCGATAATGAGCCGAAAGAAAGCTAATTACTATGTAAACAGTTCAAGTTATAAAAAATGTGTCCAACAAGGAAACTGATATCAAAGTAACACACCAATATTGTGATACGGTTCAAAAAGCAAATTAAAATTCGTTGTCAATTCGATTGTACCTAAGTTCAGAAAAGTACCAAGACAAAGCTTTTCTAATTAAACTTACGGATACACACGGATATTGATTAATTACAACGTAGAATAAGAAGTTCAAAGAACTGAATATAGGTCATCACACAAGTGTGTAGAGACCATGATTATTTTATTGATAGTACACAACACCACAGACCATAGTGAACGCAACACTTTTTCACATGGAACTCAGAGACTGACAGTTAGTCACAGGTGTTTAAGTTTATCTGAATGATAACTTTTTTCTTTCTTAAAAAGAATTTTGCCCTATTAGGTCATTAAAAAGGGTGTTTAGTGATTCAATTCTAATTTTATTTTAAAGGCTGAAGTGATGATAGACAACAATGAATTATAGCTACAGTAAACATTGGGACGATGACCCCAAATAATTATCGTTACTGACAGTTTGGGCAGCCCGCCAAGTAGTATTGTAGGAAAAGAGAAGACTGAGACGTAGGAAGGAATGTTTATTATTGGCATCTTGTACAATAGTCATCAAATATTGTACACTTACCACTAAGAAAGTCATTTGCACAATGTGTTTCATTTCCTCTTCTGCTTCTATTTCCATTTGCTGCTAACACACCCACATTGTCTCTTGCATTTCTATGGGCAGAATCTTTACCCCTTGCTGATGATTTCATATAATTTCTACCGCCCTCTCAACATATACTACTTATATCCACTCTGATCAGTAGCACCCAACTACAGTATGACTACCCCTCACATACAGGTGTGCCTCACATCGCCTACTACAGGGATGTGTACAAGGTGATTGAGTGCGTTTCGTTCGTTCGTTATACCCTTAGGAAAACTAGCTGAGTTTCTACAGCTGTAGAATTATATACATATATATATATATAAGTTGAAAACACCAAAAGCATTAGGACACATCAGTGACTCCTAAGTATCCACTTTAATGAAGTTTGCTGTAGGCTTTCTCTTCGTAGCTACTTGGTCACCTTATCTCCATCCTAAGATATGGTCTTCAACTAAAAGATGCTGCATTCGACTTAGCCTAAAAGATATATAACTCTGTTCTGCAAAGGCATTAACACACTATAGTGTCCTAGACTTGCTCAACAAAAACTAGGACGTTTGTCTGGCACAGATGCGGAAGTATGCCTTAATACTGGTAAGCTGTAATTCGACACAGATAAAATTATCGTAAAACCTCGTACACAAGTTCGTCAGTTCAGGTTGCCAAACTTTACATTGGTAGACCCTGTAACCGGTTTCCAGCCATGTCAGTGAGTTCTCAACCACTGATTTCCCTCGTCTCGATAACTTCAGCCAGGTAGTCTATATTTCCCTATACGGCGCAGACCAACAGTCATGTACTTCGTCGACTGGTGCCATCCTGAACTCTCTTCCAACCTTATCAAGTTTCCCCTTGTATGACATAGCACGTTGAGGTAGGGGGTGGATCAGGATGCACACCACCTCAACCGATGAGGGTTCATAGCCTCATCAATCGACTTGCCTGACTTCAACATTACTTATATGGTGATTCCACCAAATGCGAGCAATGCAACGAAGACATCTGTGATTGAAAACCTGTAACCGCTTCATGTCTTCTTCTTTCAACAGCTATGTCTCATAGCCGTATAACAGGACAGAAAGGGCTGTAGCCCAGTTAACTCGTCCTTTGATAAGTAGTCCGATATCTCATCAGTTGGTGCTAGAAATGACGCAAGCTGGCAAATACCAGATGAGGTTTCTGTATCTGAGCTGAGATTTCATCGGCAACCAGCCCTGTTCAAGTTGATACAACTCTCTATCCAACAATCAATCCCAAGTCTAACTAGTGCATGTCAGCAAATCAACATGTACATATTCATCTTATAATGCGAGTAACACGCAGTGTTTGGCCTATAAATGTTACCCTGTAAGGTTGGATCGGGGCAAGGTACATAGATTTGAAAGAATTTGAAACTATGGTTCTAGTTGCAGCGCGTCCACACTGACTCAACACGTATAATGAGATAAAAATGGTGGAAGTTTACCGTTAAACGGGAAAAAAACTAACCTGAAACAACATTTCTATCTGACTTAACTCCACAGCTTTTGCAGCAGAACAAAATCCATCCAGCATAGCCAAGGTAAGATAAACTGACTTCAAATTTTCAACACATGATTTAATACCTTTCATAAAAGACCAATTGAAAAAATAAAGAAATTGTATCATGATATTTAAAAGTGTAAAACACATAAAATGGTTACATTTAGATAGCACTCATATAGATTTCGTTTTTACAGTGCAAGAGAACAAAAATCCGTAATTTCAAGTTTGAACACTTTAGTATATGAAGTTCTGCATAGTACCTAAGAAAGATTTGGTGTACTCAACTCGACGAATCCCGACAACTGTGTATCAATTCTATCAATCACTCTCTTCTTAAGACTGTTTGTATTTAACAACAACACTGTGTATTTCGGTAGAATGGGGTGCGTCATTCACTAGTTGTTCTTAGAACACCGTCTTCAATAGTAGTGAAGCTTTGTAGCTCAGAATGAGGATTACAATTGTTTAATATTCTTCAAGCATTAAGGTTTTATCTTGGACGTCGTATCACCAGACTAAATGACTTCATTAACGTTTAATCTACAAAGAAGTGAAGCGTTTCTACGACGCATGCATATTTATGAAAGGTACTTTTGCCAATCTTCAGCGTGATCATTTTGTGAGTGAAGAAGTGTTTTCCTTCTTTCTTTTTTTATCAGAGTTTGACTACCCTTCATAATTGTTGTTATAGTGTAACTTTAGCTGTTAGCCTAATGTCTGATTACTGATTTTCAGTTGGCTGATGATCCCTTCTTAGTGGTCGGCATATTCGGTCAATCTCCATACGTCTGTTGATTACTATTTGATTGGAATACAATGCTTCCAGGAATCCTCTTGCACTTTTCGACCATAATGGAAATGCTACAACAAACTAGCTCAAAAACTGCAAGCGAATTTTCGGGAGCATAATACTCCGACCAAATGGCAATCAACAGGCACGTGAACGTTAACTTAATATACAGTCGATTAAGAAGGAAACAGTCAACCAAACAATCAATCAGGCAAATCAGTAATCGAATATTAGGTTGAAATCATAGGTCAAGTAGTCATTATCACTACATTTAGGTCGATAACGCTCAAAGTCGGCGAATATCCTTCACAAACATTCAGGCAACTTAAAAGCACGTCATTTCTTAATGAAGTAAATGCTGATGAAGTCATCCAGCCTGGTCATTAAATGTTAACGACGAAAACTTCAAGGCAAAGAGAGAGCTGTCCTCAATGTCAACGTAAACAGTATTCGTACTGAAAACTCTGGGTAGTTGAGTTGAAAATATTATCATTTCAAAGACATTCCAATATGAAATAACGGTAGCCGAGTCAAAATACAGTAAAAACTGGTGGTAACAGCGTTAGCTTCGTACTATCCTTTAATTAAAATAGTACACTACTTTTTACATACCACAACGAATGAATCGTATACTTCACGTTCAATCAGATCTCTTAATTTTTATCCCACTGTACCACAAACATACATTAGGCAACAATATTCTCTTCTTCCTACTTCAGAGTACACGTAATGTCATAGACGCACCCTTTAACTATTGATCACTTTTTATTCTCATTTCTCTGATCGTTTTTTGTTGTTCTCCCTTCAACTGTGCAAAAGAGGAAACTTGAAATGATAAACGATTATGCCAGGTACCCTGTTATTCATGCCAGTTTTGTGTAAACTGCCAAAACTGTTTTTACGGGAAACAAACTGAGAGGGGTAGACAATGAAATGTCTATTCGACATTTGTGAATCTCCTTGAAAGATTTTGAGTTCTATTGTACATATTTTTCACAGGCCGAATATAATCCTCTACAAGAACATGATTAAGATGTCCATATTTTCCAACACGATTTCATAACACTTAATATTATTTGACTATGGTACTCATAACTAACTGATATTTTGATTTCAAGTTGGTATTCATCATGAGCTGGTATCATTTGGCGGAACATTCGAAAGCTGGAAGCACTCTTAGCTGTTTCATCCTGGTATGCGACTCCTCAGCAGTGCGCACCTATGACCTCCTCTCCCCCAAGGGATCGAACCCAGGACCTTTAAGTTCTGTGACCATCACGTTACCATTGAGGCATTGGGTCGGAATTCAATGGTTCATATTCCCAACTTCTGTCAGTTCGCGACATACGGCGAACATCACCCAATGTCATCATTGAGTACTTGTCCTCAGATCCACCAGGTTTGCCCCACCGGTCATAACTTTTCATTGGAACTTCAGGAATCACCTCTTGAAGTTAGTCGCCAATGGACATTAGATTAACTCAATTTGGGGTTTGTGAAGATTTATTGATTTCAAGTTGGCATATATATATATATATATATATATATATATATATATATATATATATATATATATATATATATATATTATATACAATAAATTGATGGTTCGAAACCCTACGCTATATACATCTCGCAAGGTGGCATATGCATTGATATCTTTTATTTACTACGCCATTGTACCAGGTTTCATTATTTGCTTTGGCTTAATTTTGTGTCTATATTTCTCTTCATTTTGTTGCTTTCGACCACGATAAGCTGGTGTGAGGTGCAGTAACGTGGAACTGTCATGTATTTATGCTAATAGTAACTGATTGTCATTGACTATTATCAAATAGCTCTAGCTTTTAATTCACGGTCACATAATGATTCTAACATTTGCCAATGATGAGATAACGGTGACAATTTGTGATGTCTGTCTCTTGTTTTATAAGGAAAACGTCTAACTACTTGTATAGCAGGAAAAGCATGTGATAGTAGCTTAGTAAACTCTCATAAGGGATTCAGACATTTTTCGGTACTACATCTGATATGCACTGATGAAAGCCGAAAGAATGTTTTCTTCACTAACAAGATTCATGATGAAATTATTCGGATTGAGAAGTAAAGACTTTAATGGGTGGTTTTTGTGAGTACGATCAACGAACAAACAAGAGTAACTCATTCACACCACACTTGAACGTAACCATTCGGTGGTTGAAGTAGAAACCTGGTTAGAAGACGATAATGCCAGTAATCCGGAGGCTGCCAGTTTGAATCCTGCTTGGTCCAAGTTCTTATTTCACACTCAATCATCACAACCTACCACCAAAACATCACCGATCTCCACAAAACACCCAAGATAGGCAATATAATGAATTCGTTGGCAGAATGAGTAGACATAACAAAAAAAAGTGAGGTTAAGACATAACGGTTACAATGAACGAATACACTTGTGACCTTGAAACCGACCAATAAACGACAAGCAGTACATGATATACGTTAGGCTTGTTCAGAATCATCTCCATAACTTTATGTACCTGAGTTGGTTAAAAGACTGGATAAGCACTCCAATTCAGAGTAATCATTCTGTTTAATTCTTTTGCACATAACTTCAAATTTTATGCCGTTCTATGGGTTTTCACATGATCGTGCAATCTGATTGTTTGTTCAAGGTCATCTATGCATTTGTTGACTTCAACCGCTATTTCTTAACCTCATAATAAAGGATGCTTACCTGTAAGACCCCATATATTGTAGCTGCTGAAATGACGAGTTAGTTTAGCCCTATCTGCAGGAGATAGTTTAGCTAGTGAAGTCATACTATTAGTAAGTACAGGCTTGATTTCACAATGCTTGCTGACCCAATTTATGATAGGATCCCATGCAGCAGATTGTATACTTACCAGATCATCTGGTTCTTGACACCTAAAACTTGAAAAAATATTTCAGGAATTAACCATGTTTAGCATTAAATATACGTAAGCACACGAACCAGTCAGTTATCAGCAACATGCGAATAGGTTTACTGCAAAATAGGCTGAGCTGCCGCTTTTCATATCAAAGTATAAGGTACTACAATTGTAGACGGAGAAATAGGAGAGAAATTAATCAAAGTGGTAGAGAGTTGTAAAATGAGAGGAAGGAAGAATTGAAACAATGATGAAGCTTGACATATGTGGATGTATCTACACCACTGACATTTATTCTAAGCAATATCGCCTAGTTGCCAACCACTGATTTCGGTTGTTACGTTGACTCTAATCGGTCGGTAAGTCCACTTTCTCTATAACACTTAGACTAAGTCAAAGACTTGATGGACTGATGTCGTGTTTTAGTCTGACCACTAATTCTAAAGCAAAACACGAAGAATGAGAAAATTTCAATATCGAAAAGTAACCCCAGGTTTTCAGTACCGACGTCAATTTATAATATTAAATACGAAGGACAGGTGTGCGTGTGAGGCGTAAACAGAAATAAACATCACATGAGAAACTGATAAAGAAGAAGTAGTAGAAGAAAAACGAATTTCGTTGTTTCTTTACAATGATTACATCATGTAAAATGATCACATGTTGCTAAACTGGGTCAAATTGCCCGACCTCTGTTAGCAGATGGGCTCTTACCAGGATACCCTAACACCGTCCGACTACTCATTGTTGTAATTTGCTTGGTGGCTAGCAGTGGGATCCAGAACGCGCTTTTCGTCCTATTCGGGACTCGTTAGCTGGATATATGTACACCCCAGTGAGTGGAGTTATTCTCACTGAGACTCGAACCCAGTACCTATCGCTTCGAACGCCAAAGCGCTACCCACTAGGCCACTGGGGCGTGACATCCGCCCCAAGGAATGAATGCAGCTGCACCACCATGAATGATTATCAACAATTTCATCAAGAGTCCTCAACCACTGATTCTTATCGTCTCAGGGACCCTAGGTCAGGTAGTCTACACTTCCCTACACGGCTTAGAAGCATCTATGTCCCAAGTGCTGAGGAACTGTTAATAATTTGAGTCATTGAGATAGACGTACCTCTGTGATTTGTGCATTGGATATGTATGCAGTAAGCAAATACTTGAGTCTTTGTTGGATATGCCAACTAATTACATACAAGTTTGTTTGAAAACGTGTCACAATTTAAGCGGATGCAACAAAGCAGCCCGTTAGAAGGGTTTTTCGTGACCACTCTAGAAATACACGTAACATTTAATTATCAAAAGAGGAACTAGCCAGGAAGTTGTTGAAACACAGTACTTGATACTTACCACCATAGTGGGATCGATTGCAGGAAACAGGTGATCAAACTTAAAATAAAGACAGTAGTGAAGTGGGAACAATAATTGTGTAGAGAAATTCGATGTAAAGGTTTTCAAAGAAATGAAAACAGTCGATGCCTTTACATCTGTACGAATTTCTATAGTATATACAAATCCTTCCATGTTTTGGGGATGAAAAATATCTGACTACATAAATTAGTCGCTGTGGTGAAGAGTCTCAGTTTATTCACACTTGAGTGGTGATCGAATCTTATTTTGAAAGGCAGACAATGGTCACCAGCCTAAAAATTCTCCTCATCGGCGTGCGCTTCGATTCATAATACCTGATTGGATGCAATCAATACGAAGCCAACATTACAAACTGTATCAAGGAATGTACTTCGGAAAATTTTTACCTATGCTAGCCGTCTTGGAGTGCTGTTGAAATTTACAAAAACTAAATATCACATTGAAATGGTGGAGAATATTTGTGGCTCAGATGGATGTTGTATTACGTTCTTGACTAAACTACCCAGCTCAGAGAACACAACACAAATATCACATTAGTTTACTGGACCTTTCTTCAAACGAATAGTTGATTAACGAACCTTTAAATTGTGCCGTTAGTTTACAAGTTTTGCATGCCTAATCACTGTCTACCACGTCACACAATATTATGTGACGTGGGTTCAGGATGGAGAAAGATAAAAGGTGGGGAGAATAAAACACAGTAATCAAACCGTCAAGTCTCTGACTGTCGGTATAAGCCGTGAAGAGAAATTTAGACATAACGGTTGGGATTCACGTGATAACCGAAATCCGTGGCTGGAGATAGTAGAGGATATGGTTCAGAATTGATGTCAATGGTGTAGATGCATCCATACTCTATTGTCATTTTTATCATCATACAAAATTTTATTTTATTCCTTCTTCCTCTTCGCTTTATAACTTCCTATCCCTTGGACTACTTTCTTCTTGATTTCTCTGTCTTTCATTGTGATGTCTTCCACCTTAATGGGTTGGTGTGAGATACACCAACTTGGACTGTTACTCAGTGATGAATGCTAGGTCCTATGACGATGCTGACTGACCGATCTAACTTGATGATACGTTGATAATACAACTAAGTGTTTAACAGATTGACATTTGAAAATTTATAACAAATCATTTCAATAATGCATAATGAGTGCATTTACCATATTGTATCCGTATCAGCATATTGCATGATTGCACCAACTAAAACATCATGTTGATCCTCTGGAGTATCTAGCGCTCGATTACATAGTGTTGTCTATGAGATGAAAGAAAAGATACTTTACAAAAGCATAAAAGTTAGATATAAACAATAGTTGCATTATTAAAGTTTACACTTGATTAAAACATCCAAAAAGGAGTAGAATCATGGTTAATTTTATTAATCAAAGCATAAAATGGTTTAGTACAATATGGATGTCAAGAGATACATCATAGGAGGAATACGATATTGTCGTGAAATAGTTACAGGAGCATTTACAAGAATAATAACAACAAATTGGAGTAAAAGTTAGGACAAATCCACTTCATGTTACATCGTTTTTCTCAAAACCAATCCTGACTGATGTAGAATTAAAGCGACAACTATAACACAGCTGTTGTCCAGCTTCATTTTCAGCCATTTCGAATAAGTCCTTTAGCTATTGTGGTGAGTGGAATCTCAAAAGAGTTGTAAAAGATTACCTGGTACTAAATCAGGATAACTAACCCTTAATCCGTGAAATCACATGATAAAAGTCATTAGGGCAGCACAAGCACAATGTCAGCAGGAAATTGAGACTTGTGTGCTCAGATAATATCTTCATTCATTGAATAATTACCTTCGATTATATCTGAACGCGTCGATAGATCGTGGTAAGCCTATGAACAGACCAACAAAAATAATTGGTTATAGAACATTCTAAGCTCAAAATGTGACCAGGCTTAACAGATTTACAGAAGAGCTGTCCATATTGAAGCATTATACACCACTACTTGGTCAGTCAGACAAACTCTAAACCTGAGACAGCACATTTATCACTGTAAAACACTTCATGAGAATGTATTACTAAAATATTGTAATAGCAAGCAACCTACATGGAAATCAACATTTTAAGTCATCAGCCAATTAGGTAGTTTTTGTATTTCAATTTCTGTTCCATGCTGCTGTGTAGTCAGGAAAAACCTAACCGGACGATTCTGTCCTAGAGTTGACCAATCAAAATAAATATCTAACTTTTGATCGATTGGTTTTTTATGTTCATGAAATTATTATTTATTATTATTAGTCCCTTGGGTTCCTAGTGGAACATAGGGCTTCAGTAGCACGCCTCCAGTGACCTCTGTTCTCTGAGATCTTTTGAACCTGCTCCCACGACAGCCCACAACCTCTCATTTCCTCCTCGCACGACCTCCTCCATGTCACCCTTGGACGTCTAACTCGTCGCTTCCCATAGGGATTCCACTCGAGGGCCTGACGCGTGATGTCCTCCGTCGGCCTTCTCAGTGCATGGCCAATCCATCTCACTTCTTCCTGCATATTTGTTGCGTGATAGGTTCTTGGTTGGTTCGTCAACAACCAGAGTTCCTCGTTGCTTATTCTTTCTGGCCATCTGATCTCCAGTAGCGAGCCAGCGTAGGTGGCAGTTGTTGATGAATGTCTGTAGTTTATTGGAAATACCTTTCGTGACGCGCCAAGTCTCTGAGCCATACAAGAGCACTGACTTGACGTTGGTGTTGAAAATCCGGATCTTGTTGTTTATACTGAGTGCAGAAGATCTCCACACTGGTTTCAGGCTAATGAATGCCTGTCTTGCTTTTCCGATTCTGACTTTGACGTCCTCGTCCGTCCCGCCTGTAGTTGAAACAGTGCTTCCTAGATAAGTGAAGGAGGTTACTTCCTTTAAGTTTCTCCCGTTGACAGTGATTGGAGTTTGTTGTTGTTGTTGTTGATGGTGGTGGTGCGGTATCTTCATCACTTCTGTCTTCTCTATATTCACCTAAAGTCCCGTCTTAGCTGCCTCTTCTATCAACTTGTTAGTTTTTGCCTGCAGATCTTCAAGTTTATGTGACTTTAGGCACAAGTCATCGGCGAAATCCAGGTCTTCTAGGTTCTTTTCCGTCGTCCAGTGTATCCCCCTCTTCTCGCTGCCTACTGTTTGCTGCATGATCCAGTCCACCACAATAAGGAATATCATGGGGGACAGTAGGCAACCTTGTTTCACTCCTGTCTTCACTTCAAAAGCATCACTGAGCTTCCCATTGTGGATTACTTGGCCGGCATGTGGCATCTTCATATAGTTGTTGAATGAGGCTGATAAAGGTTTGCGGTACTCCGTAGTAGTGAAGCAGTTTCCAAATTACTTCTCGGTCGACGCTGTCAAAGGCCTTCTCAAAGTCGATGAAGTTGAGGTATAGAGCTGATTGCCATTCTACGCTCTGTTCTATGATGATACGAAGCGTTGCGATTTGGTCTGCACATGATTTGTACTTCCTGAAGCCTGCCTGTTCCGGTCGTAGTCATGAAAACTGTATATAAATGATGTATTTTTGTCCAAGGCTGGTCTGTCTTTTGATTTCCGTCGCTCGATGAGATATAAATTTCTGAGGGGCAACAGTTGCTATTCGTACCCAGTCCAAGTGTTTCATCGCATTATTATCGTTGACACGATTATTATTATTGTTGTTCACTCGATAGCTTCAATTGGCGATGAGTGTTGTTTTTTATTTCGCCATGCCTATTCTACTGGATGATATCCAATCTAGTTTGGAACTTCATCAAGCTTATAATGAAGCATCTCTAACATAGAAGTCACCAATTCAGTAGCCGCCAGCAGTCAGGTGTCGTAGCTCAGCGAGAGAGTTCGGAGGTTCGAATAATACTGCATCCCAGATTTTCATTTCATCTTCAACCATCATCCAGTATCGGCACAGGTCTGCTAAACCACAGCTATCTCAGGTAGTCAAACTGATGACTTCATACTAAATTAGTGATTCATGACGAAGGCACATTACCTTAGGTAGATAAATATGAAAGCATTTCCAATTCTATCAGTGAGTTTAATTATGATCCAATATCTGGTCTCATATTCGACTCATGGTTTAATCGATATGAAGATGTTTTTCGTACTGATGATCCAGATAGTGCTCGATTATTATTATTATTACGAAAAGTGGCACTATCGAATACAATAAATATACCAATTTTATACTGCTGAAGAATTTTTGTGAATTATTATTTGATTAAACTATCAGTGCCTTATCTCAAACTTTTAGTGAATAGCCCTCTCTATTCAATATTCCGTATCAAATTGCCTTCTGAAGATTATATAACGTGAATGCAAAATATTCAAGGCGAATGAAATGATATCTGACCAGTTTAAATATCTGATTTTCATGTGCGGTCTGGAGAATCCTTAAGATGGTTATGTTCGAACCAAAATCTTGTCACGCGTCGAAGAAGACTCTTGACTTTGGAGATGGTGACAACAGAACCAAACTGGAGGCATGAAACAGCTATTTATTTACTCATCCGTTTATTAGAACACAAACATGGTACAGCGAGGGCATCAAGAAATGCGCCACATAAAATAATACAACAACTTTATAAAGACATAAAGCGAAAGGAAGTGGATAAAATAAAGCACATTAAAAATAGAATGATTAGAACGGCAGTCCAGTAAGGTATATTCGAAACGAAACATTCATTACTTTTCGGCAGCAGATAGAAAGAAGCTACAACATAACCCCCACTGGTTTTAGTTCTGAGCCATAACTTATAACATCTCAAACCACTGAGTTGCGTGATCTCTCAGACCCCACCTAGGGAGTCGTGATGTATTAAGAGATGCTAACCCGATACAACTATCCTTCATCCCACGGTGCTACACGCCTCTGCTTCTTCCATCCAGCCCCACGGTTAGCAAACAATGAACGGTATGGAGGCCGTTGGGACGATATGAGTAACACATGTCCAAGCCACCGAAGCCGGTGTTTAAAGATGACTTCACTTGTTCAATGACGATCTCTATCACGCCCAAGCACATGCCATCGTATCTCAGAATTACTACTTACATTCAAAAAGGACAAATGTCGATAGTGTCATCTTTTTACGTACACAAATGGTTACTGTCTTCCGCAGAAAAATAATCCTAGGAAGACCAAATGTCCTTTTTGGAAACGCAACTCATCCATTCAAGTTCAAAGCAATTTTACATTTTTCAATGTTGATTTGGGGAGCAAACGAAAGTACGTTGATCTGTTTGTTGATGGTAAATCTATTCGTCTCCTGCTTGATACAGCTTCCGATAGAACCTTGATTTTTCGCAGCACGTGGCGCATACTTGGGTGCCTACAGATTCAACTAACTGAACATATTGCTCGAAATTCGCTGCCACGTCCAGTTTGGAGGACGAAAATTCAATCCTGTTATCTCACAAATCATGATATAGACCAGTCTAGTTTGAAGTGGAGACATAAACTGAATACCTTAATTGTTTCATTGGATTCGATATGTTCTCGTAAAACATCAATGTCGCATGATGTGGTATTGTCTCATATCTCTGATAAATCTTTACTCGTACGCTTACTTCAGAAGCGTACATCAGTTTTTTTAGGACAAGCTCGTTTGCTGTAAATTTACCCAGGTTTCTTCGTCTTTTTAGCCAAATACGAAATTAGTTTATCGTGTAAAACACCCAGTTCCCTATGCTGTAGTAAATCTAATTTACAATGAGCTTGGGTTGGGTGTCCCCCCCCCAGCCAGTTACGTATTCTCCATAGGCTGCTCCACTAGTAGTTGTTCGCAAAGCAAATGGTTTTATTCGTTTAAATGGGGATTTTCCAAATGGTTTAAATGATGATTTAGAAAACAAAGCTTATCCACTACCAATACAAGAAGAATTATTCATCAAACTTCATGGTAGTGAATGCTCTGCAACAATCAATCTTGCGTATCTTCAAAATGAAATCGAACCGAGTTCCAGAGAATAGATGACAATTAATTCCCATATAGGTCATTACCACTACAATCGCCTACCTTTTGATGGCAAACCAGCACCTGTTATCCTTGCAGCAAATTATGGACATAATGCGTGGCAACCAAACTAGAGCTGCAGTCTATCTAGATTATGAGATTATCACGGCAACCAGTAAGTCTGGATTCTTTGATTATCTAGATACTGTACTATCGAAAATATCTGAGTATAGGTTTACCTGGACTGGATATGAATAGGGAGTGTTCTCCCTCAGACTAGATAGTTCACTGGACCGCGAAAAAGTCAGGAAACAAAGACCGGCCTGTGACTGTAAGAAAAACAACTTTATTTGACAAAAAAAATATCATATATGTGTAATTTCTATTAAGAAAATAAGGCTGCTGGATCACAAGTTGGATACTCATCTTGATTGGTCAGCTGTAGGACAAAAGTGTCTAATTAGGTTTTCCTGCCTACACAGTAACGTGAAACAAGGTTGAAATCAAAACTCTTACCTTAGCGGTTGTTGACTTGGAATGGTGATTTCGATTTGGGCTGCTTCTTATTCATATATATACGTAAGAAGGTATGTAGATTATTCAGTTGAAGAGTTCTACGGGATTTATGAGATCCTGCTTTCTATACTTTTGTTGCTGGTTTTAGATTTGTTTCTGGAAACCAATGCTTTTTCACGATTAGTAAAGAATATGACTATTTCCACTGCCTACTCCCTTGGAAACTGCTTGCAGTGCTAAGAGAAATATATATCACTCCTCCTTAGTATATAGTATTCATGCCTTCGTAATGTTTACTTGATACTGCGACTTTTCTCATTCCAAATCAGCATCACACGACTCCCTTTAACTGCAGATGTCTTCGGTATATATTACTGATACACATCCTTATAAGTAGTGTTTATTGTAGCACTATTTAGCGCTAAATAAAAATAATAACTACTGCTTGTGAAATAATTCTGTTGAATGAACAACGGGAAATGACAAGCAACAATCTAGGACTATATCTGTCACACAATGAGTGGCTATCGTGATTTTGACGTCTAGTAAATGGGGCTTCAGTGTTTGGTAAGTCCCGGGTTTACGTCCCACTTGGAGCAACACTTGGTGGGAGACAGACACTTTCAACTGATGAGTCGCATGTAAGCGAAAATGCATGTCCTGGATTCCCCAGTTAGCCTATTTCCATCCATCATTACTACCTTGGTTAGTTTCATAAATATCGTTTACATGTGGTGTGTGATTAGCTCTGGATCTCCATATCACATATGAGAACGCATACAATTGCGAATAGGTAATTCCGGTGGAGGAACAGTGTAGATTAGCATAAGTGAAAAGATGATAACCTTCGAATTTTTGGGATACCAGTGTATCATTTATATCTTATAAATACAATTGCTAAAAGACTTACTAAGGGCATTGTATACCGTTTTATAGTATCCTTTTGACTATCCCATTCGTGAGCAACAGCAACTGCTAAAGCCTGATTGGGTACATGAAAGTAAGCGCCACTAGGTGTTCGAAGTTTACGGTGATCAAGAAGGATTTCGAAAACAGGAAATTCGTTATCTAGAAGATTTATAAGAAGTTGGATTCATCACAGAAATGGAAACCATTATCCAAAAATACTTGATTTATACTGGGTATTGATTGAAGCTGAAATGAAAATTTGGAATGCGGCGGGATTCAAACAAGAGACCACTCTAACCCGTGGTCGCTGGTTCAAATCCCGTCACTGTCCAAATTTTAATTTCAGCTTCAATCATCATCCAGTATCAGTACGAGTCTCCCAAACTACGGCTATCTCAGAAAGTCAAAATTATCACACTTTATTTTTGGACAAAATACAATTGGAAAGAAACAGCTTAGATTAAGATTCTGATACACAGCAAGTCACATCAGGATCATACCTTAGATTCCAACACATTGATTGAAAAAAGTTGTTCACACCGGAACCTGATCAACTTGTACTCAATACAACAGAAAGATGCAGGTGTGCACCGACAAGAAGTTCACAACTAGGAAAAAACAGCTGTCAAGTGTACTATAGAAAACAATACTACCCTAGTTGACACTAGCCTGTGATTATATCTTGAAATAAAATTGATAGTAATAATACTTCTTCGTGCAAAACATAAATTTTTCACAGTTTACGAAGCAAAAATTAATAGACCATGATAAGGATAGAAGAGCAAAACAGGGAGAGAGAAATGGATAAAAAGAGAGACAGACTGGAGGATCATTTATACGCTTACACTGCTCAGTTTTAGCATTGTCTTTTGTCCATGTAACAAGAATTTCCTGAGAAGTATTTTAAAATCTTGAAGGTCAAATACAAAACACCTCAGTTAGAGTGAAGGCTAAGAAAACCACTTGTCTACAAAGTACCAAATAAACAGTAGGATTAATTATTTCTACCAGGTCTCACCATTCCTGCTAAACTTTGCCACGCATAGAATTCTTCAGACAACTCTTGACGCGAAAACGTGTGATGTAAGTTAATCACTAAAAGAAGATATTTCGGATCGTTAGCGTACAAATCATATTGTTTTACTATGCAACAACAAACAGCTTACTCAAATGTCAGCATGAATCGCGCAATTTGTAAATCATTTCCAAATTGATCGTTCAGTCAGGTAGTTAGATTCTGGTGATCTGAATAATTTAGCTAGGTCAGCTAAGTTTGTCTGGGTCCATTTTTGATCAGCTCGACTGCGAACGAGAGATATGGTCGTCCGGTACTTAGATCACTCTGATCCGGCTGGCAAAATCTACAGACCAGCCTAAGTGGTTTCAAACTATTGAAGCTGTTCAGTAGGATATTTCGCAACCTACCACCTAATCTAGTTGGTGATCAGTGTGTAGAAGTATGGTATACGCTTTGCATCACACCACTGAACTGCAACACACATTCACAAAACCCGCGCATTTACTCAACACTGACAGTGAGTGAACCATTGAACTAGTCGAAAAGTTTGTGTATCTGGGTTTTTCGCAAGACTGACTCGTGATGAAGGAATAACGGATAACGTTTTTAGCCTCATCGAAACTCAGATTGGTATATGCAAATATAAGTGACTTTTGACTAAAAAATAGAGACTGTACAAACTCCTGCTATGACAAGTTCCTTCTGCTCTAACCACTTCTATAATTCGATCTCTTCGACGTGAGGATGTTCGATGACGATGTATTTTCGACCACCAACTGCACTCACTCAGTGAAAAAATATGAGTGATTCTGAGATATGGTCGAGTGTATTCGTATGTGATGAGGATAATCACTCATTGAGTGAGGTCGTTGGTGAGATTTCAGCATGTGTTACGAATATCATTCCGGTGGTTCCCATACCGTTCATTCTTTGTCAAGCCTAACTGCTTGTTGGAAGAATCATGAAGTTCGTCATACTATGATGTGACTTTACGGGACAAAATGTGACTAAGTTCCGTTACTGTCTGTTGATTTCCCGTGTATTCTTAAATGACATTCGAGTGATCAGGCAACTCAGCAACTGTAAACGATAACAGATGTCACTTTGGATCAAAACCCGCGGGGATCGTGCTGTTTAGCTTTCTTGTTTCATTTGTTATCGAGAAGTGAAGCGAAAGAAATTAATGGGTCTTTTTTAATGTGCGTTGGAGACTGTTCCTTTTATGACCCCGTTTCGATTCTTATTTCCTTCCACCAATTTTTCCTTCCCATCTATCTATATAATGTTTACGTGCGCACAGTGTTGTCACATTATTTTATGTGGCGCGTTACTGTACAATGTTCGTATAATCAATAAATTGAAAAACTTTCTCTTGTATGTCTCTTTTATTTTTTGACGTTTTTAACCCTTGAATTGATTTTTCTGCATAAACAGACTACATCCGTTTAGCCCAGTTTTCTCGATAACAGAGTCAGCCGGCATTTTTGATCGTTTAGACACTAATAACGGATTGCTGAATTTCATCCTGTATTGTCTTTCAGGAATTCCATGATGAATTTCTCCACAAAAGGGCTGGAGTTGAATGTTGTCCGATTATCATTGTTTTAGTGATATTTGTACTTATAGAAAGGGTTTAGAATACGCCTGAATTTCGCTGTGTTGATCTCACGAGGCTGCTCCAGGTGACTTTATGTGGGTCTAGTTATCATCACTTTAATTTATGATATAGCCACTGACTGCAAACAGCTGTGTGAAGACAATGCAGTTTGAATACACAAGATTTTTGAATTGCCTTAGCCTAGAGAGGTCAGGTTTTAAAGGTGGTTCGTAGAATCACTCATATCAAAGTAGTACGAAACTGAATACGAACGGTTAGATCAAGTTCATATAGGTGCTAAATGTGAATCTGATTTACGTACGAGGTACCTATGAATTATCGCTGCTTTTTGACTCAGATGTGAGCCATATCCAGGACGTAACGTTTTATGGTGTTATCGGATTCCCAAGAGTAAATAGGAGTGGATTTATTTTCGTATCTACCAGTTGTATGTATACAGTACGGAGTCGCAGTTGGATAGTGTCAACAAAAAACAAACCCAAAAAATAATATTCACACTTAATGAATATTTTGAATGCATCGAAAGGATGGGGATACTTGTTTTAAGCAACCACTCAAACGACCAGTACACAATTTTGCAGCCATTAAAAAGAATTTCGAGTTGAAAAAACCTTCCTTCGCACTCGAATAGCTGAGTGATAACGTCATTGACTGAAATCCCTCTGGTTGGAATTGAACATGGGCCGACATCAGTTGGAGGGACATTGGAAACCTGGAAGCAACGAACAGCTGTTTCGTCCTAGCATAAGGCCCTTCAAAAGTGCACACTCATAACCCCACCAGAGATCGAACCCAGAGCCTTCAGGTCCCGCGACCAGCACGTTACCATTGACCCACTGAGTCGGAATCCAGTGGTGCATATGTCTTACTTCTGTCAGTTCACGATACAGCGCGACCCCCGTCCAATGCCTTCGCTGCGAAACTGTCCTTATGTTCGACTTGGTTGACTCCGCTGGTCATGACTTCTTATTGGAACTTCGGGAATCACCTCTTGAAGCTAGTCACCATCATAGAAACTTAGGAGTACTGGACAGCTGTTTTATCCTCGTATGGGACTTCTCAGCAGGGCGAACCCACCACCCGGACAGGGCTCAAACCCAATACCATCAGGTTCCACGGCCAGCACGTTACCTGGCAGGGTGGTGGGTACGCAATGCTGAGGAGTCCCATACGAGGATAAAACAGCTGTCCAGCGCTCCCAAGTTTCCATTGTTCCTTAAACTTATATAAGTCTTTGATGGATCCTAATCTGAAATCAATTACACCTTTCTTACGAGAACCACCAAGCACTAAAACCTAGTTCCATGGCTCCCTGCTAACCAACTTGAAAATAGAGTTTCATTTATAATTACTGAACATTTATCAAGTTTCACTGATAGTTCAATAACAATGTGCACTTTGCACCGTCACTGAGTGGATACAGATGCAGTCTTACTTTTATTAGTAGAAATCTATTGACCGGTTGGTCCCCTCCACATAACTTGTAAATGGCTAGTCATCACTTGAAGGTCAGATGATAAATTTGTCACTTTGGTCATACGTTTTTAATACAAGTGATTGCATAGTCGACAATGGTCAACCGACTCGACAACTAGTCTACTGTGCCATTAAGGTGGGCATATAGTAAACACCACCAAAAATGCGGATGCACCATGTTGCTGTTACAACACTTTCGCTTACAGTTTGGTGTTTGTTTTTTATTCAACATAGTTTCCGGCAATACGATTCGTACCCTTCATTTAGAAATCTATTTGTCTTCTACTCCTGCATTGCTAACCATAACACGCATCATATAACAAAACATCTAGTTCGTATGAGCTTTAGATAATCAGTGTTGAGAAGACCAAGGGGCTGGCAAATGCACAATATTACGACTACGCAAGAGTAGCAGGACGCTGATTATCCCATCGTTTTGTATTCCAACTAAGTGTCTGACATTGTTTTGCAGAAAAATAATTAGCCATTTTCACATTCGATTCGATTTTACTGGTTACATAAGAGGGTAATAAGTATCAACAAGTTACTACTTTCAGCAATCATGAATAACGTTCACATAATCTTCATGAAAAAAAGGTTAAACTAGAAACATTCAGTTTTCTGATGTACTGGATATACACCATAAGGAATAACTTTCAAATGACATTTTCTAACTTACTTTCATGCACCGACTGAGACACTGCAACATTCTTGTAAAATTTCTTAGGCTGAGCTACATAGAAATATCATTCATATCTCACTGTACCTGTAAATAAATTTCTGTTGGGTGAGTGCAAACTATACAGATTCACGAATGATTTAAGTTTCCGATTAAGCATTCCAGGTGCAACACAAGACAATCTAGCCAGGTCTGACGATAATAAAGCTTTGACACAAGAGTGTGATTCACGTTGACAAAGCTGAAACCGACAACAGAAAATAAGCACTGATTCAGTTTGAAGTCCTGAGAAACATCCAGGATCAAGATATATGTAGGCTAAACAAGAAGTACACAGAAATATGCCAAGAAAAAGTGTACGAGGCAAACATCTATTATGAAATGCCTTAATACATTGTAAGGAGCAACAAACTATTTTCTGGAGCCATTAGTTTTAGGAAACAAAAGTAAGTTAACTAGTCTTCAAAAGTAAATTTACAGAATGCTTACCTTCTCAGTATGCAATTTATATTTGTGTGATATAAGGTGTAAAAAATGTTCATCAGTACAGTGGAATATTTTTGTTTACATAGTGTTGTCACACTAAGCATGAAAAAGGGTTCTATTTATCTCTCTCATCACCAAGTACCACTCCATACGCCCGGAAGATATGCTGGATGAAAACAAAAATCTTGTGTATAACAAGCAAACAACCTCACTTATTGCTAAGTTCCTGAAAAGGTGAGCTAGTAATATTGGATTACAAGATAAAACGAAAACAAGTTGAAAGTTTAAAGACTAGTATCTATAGGAAACCCTACCTAAACTTCAAATCATCTCACCTCATCTTAGTTCAAGTAGGCTTAGTCAAATATCCAAGTAATAGGGCAAAAAATCTTGCTGGTAGGACAAAATCTCCGACAACAAATTAAACACATCAAGAATACCTTGCATCTCAATAATGTTCCGACTAAATTTACTAATAAATTCACAAGAAATCGAAAGAAAATTACAAGCAGTAACAATAACACACGCATTAATAATAATTCTAATGCTAACAGTAGTAGTATTAGTAGTGGTAGTAATTACGGTGACAAAATGGAGAGAGAATCCAAAGCCTCTCCGATGTTACCATACAAGAAATGTCCATCAGAACCGTTACCAAGAGTTCTCAATAAGACAGGGCTTACAATGGCAATTAAACCGACAAACTAGTCTAGAAACAAGCTTCGTATGAAAAAAGTCCTAGTGATCCGATTAGGCATAATAATTTAGTTTACCAAATCCCTTGCAATGATTGTAAGATCATATACATAGGTGAAAATAGTTAACCAAGGTCCATTAGAATAAGAGCACAAAAGCTTAGCTATATCAAGATTCGTAGATCCCAGTGAGAAGGGATTTGGAGAAAAGCTCGGCTACAGTTATGCACGAAATTACACACAATCACACTATGAGGTGGAATACAGCCACAGTACTAAAAACTTAGTTGTGTGGATGGAGAGATTGATAGTCAGATTTTTTGTTTACCAAATCACTATCAAATACATGATATGTAAATGATTCTGCACTGATCTCAGTTATGGATACATGGAAAATTCCAATTACCCTTATCACAAAGAAGGAGAGATTATGACGATACAAACCATGTCTCAAAGTTGTGGAGTTACCCGGTATGAGTATTGATAATAAACTGTGTCCGAAACGTTATCATCCAGTAAATAATACGTTTCACTGTGACAACTCTAGTCAACAGACTAAAATGGAATTACAGCCTACCACAATGCCCGAGCTTTACTCCTATCGTAACGAAAAGACCTGATTTTTGTGCGCTTAAAACAGAGCCGAAGAAATACCTGTGTACAAAACCGAAGTTCGAGAATGATACACAGTTGGTCAAATCCTAGGAACTTGATTCAATTCAAAGAACAGTCTCTGCCATGCCACTGAATCTCAAGCCCTTGTTCGCTAAAACGCAAAACAAGCCCCCATCTTCAGCAACATCAGTATGTTTCTCGTTTAAATTCTTCCAGTGGAGTTAAATACACAGACCGTACCAACAGGGTCCATATGATTATTCAGTCGGTGTCGATAGCTATTTCCGAAGTATGTAATATTATAGTAAAGATAGATAGTGACTAGTAGTGGAATCTAAGATGTGCATTCTGTCCTATTTGGAACTCGTCAGCCGAATGTATCTGCCTTCCGGTGAGTGATATTTTTCTCACCGGGATTCGGACTAAGGAGCGATCGCGGTGGGAATATCACTCACTGGGACACAGGTACACCCAGCTGAAGAGTCCCCAATAGGACGAAATGTGCATCCTGGATCCCACTGCTAGCCTCTATCCATCTTTACTACAATCAGAACACAGGTAATATCGAGGCATCCGCTCAGGAACCCATATGCCAATAGAGACCGATCAATTGGGTCCAATCAATGACGGTATAATACAAGCAATTATACTATGTTCTATTATTTTAAACGTGGTGAGATACATAACGAGACGAAGTTGTTCATATGGTTTTCAGTTACATTTCACACAGTAGTAACGCAGGTTATCCTCAGATAAAATCCTGAACCTTGAGCATAAAAACGTTTCCTCCGGTTTCTTTTAATACGAAAAATAATACAAAAAACTTGAGTTTAAATTATTTTAACTTTTGCATAACAACTTGCTATTTTATTTACCTACTAAGATATACGTTGTTTGGATGCATTTCTCACCACATATAATAATAGGAAGTGAATCGGTTGGGTACATTAACACCTTCGTTTACTTAGGTACTCGGACCAGTCGTGATGCATTGGTGATCAATGAAACCTCTGCATGGATTAAAAAGAACCAGTTGGCTTTAGCTATTCATGATATATGGTTGACTACTGAGAGTCAAGCATCCTGAGCTGCAGTTTGCTGTTACACAATATAGCTGCGAAACAGCCATTAAAGGTAGAGAACATAAGACGACTACAGGTGTTCAACAACCGTTGCCTTTACAGCATGTTTCGTGGCGCTAGTAACATGGAAGTTAGGAGTAGTCTTAGTTGATGAGGCTGTGAACCCTCCTCGATTCATGACCAGGATATGCGTTTTACATGTCTAGTCACCATCTACCTCGTTGCGCAACCTTAGCTGACGTAGGTGCAGGCTAAAGAAAGGTTAAAGGTGGCCAAACTAAAACAAGGCACCAATGTATCAAATCTTTGACTGTTGGGATAAGCCGTGAATGGAAATGTAAACCTCCCGGTTGGAGTCCACATGACAACCGAAATCGGTGGTTTGCGACCTTAAACGATATGGTTCACAATCGATGGCAGTGGCACAGATGCATCCATGCATCATCTTCATCTTAATCGACATACTGAGTTTCACTACTGTTAAAATAATTCTTTGTCTCTTTGTACAACTTTCTACTGCTTTTGATTACTTCCATTTTTATTTGGCCATCCTTCATGGTGGTGCCTTGGAACCTGATGTGCTGACATGAGATCTTTCAATTTAGACTGCTACGCAATTATGCCAGATATCACACCGATTTCGACTGACTGACTGAACTGTCCAGAAACTTATCATTTCAAGATGTTACACCCCACAACACCTCGGAAAGCGGAAGTGAATGTAAACATAGTGACAATAAAATAAACGAAAATGTATATAAAAGGAGGTAAAACGAATATACGATAGTAAATTAAATACTTGGGATTCGGAATATGGAACGGGGTAAATACATCTGTCATCATCTTTTATTCGGGGCCTCAAACCACTGATTATTAATAATTTCAAAACCCCAACTGAGTAACCAGTATAACTGATGTTTCTTGACTGCCTTTGCCTTGTCCACATCTTCGTTACAGGCTTGAATGAAACAGTACAGTTCACAAAATGTTTGATTAGGGTTGATCACACATAATATAAATACGTGTGTTTGTGTCCACATACTTGCATTATTTCTTAGACTTTACCCACCAGGATAAAGAGTCGTACGGAAAGGTGACTGAACAGTTCTTGCGGGTTATATTTATAACTTCTCTCCAGATTCAGGTAGTACAGCTAGAGTAATATTCGCATAATAACAATACTTAACTGTTGTCACAATCCTGTCTACTCAATATTATAAATTCATCCTCAGGACCCTAATCACAACGTAGCTTCCTTTAATCTACCATTATTCAACGGATGTTTCTAACACACCACGACCTACAGGAACAATAGATGTAGCTAGTACAGTTTATTTGGTCATTGTGATATGCAAGCCCGACACAATATCAAGGTACCAGCTGTTGGTTAAGTATTTGAAACGAATAATGTTGTGCTAAATTATATAGGTTTCAGTAACTGAGAGGGTATGATTAACTTCCAGGTATAAGATATTATAAATACTTTAGTATGATCAAGAACGATGAAGGTTCCTCCTCCTATTGAAATGGTCTCATAGGATCACGCAACTAGTCGACAGAGACAGCCTTAACTTACCATACGCTGCAAGAATTTGTACAATCTACTTTTTTCACTTAGACTGATTTCATACCATGATGAGGTTAGAAACTTTATGCGTTATTTCTCCACCGCGAGTCAGTCGTGCAGCCACCCAGATACAATGAACTTTTCGACTGGTTTCAACGCCTCACTCACTGTTAGTGGGCAGAGTTTGTGAATGTACGTTGCAGCTCAATGGTATGAAGCGTATACTGTACTTTCAGATACTGATCATCAACAGACTAGGTGCGATTTGAGTAAAACAACGTCGTTTGCACATTCAACGTTCAAAATGTTTTCTTCCACTGGGTGACAAACAGAATCAATATGTAAACTCGCATAAAAGTACATCGCCTCAACTTCCCACACTTCACAGTAGCATACAAAGAACAATTGGACGGAAAAAGAGTGATATCAAACTAGACAAAGTTGTATGAGACGACAAACAATTTGAAGATAAAGATTAATGCGAGTATTCAGACCCTAGAAGACGTCAGAGAGTGAATACATCTGCGCCACTGCTATCGACTTTCAGCCATGTCACCAACAGTCCTCAACCACTGATTCTCCTCGATCGGTAACCCTAGCCAGGTAGTCTACATCTCCATACACCGCCCAGACCAACAATCAGAAATTTCATCTACCGGTTTCACCTCTTGTTCTAGTCACCCTGAACCCTCTTACGACCTATTCCAGCTTTTTCTAGAATGGCACGTTGAGGTAGGCGGTGGATAGGCATGCGCAACACACGTGCAAGCCACGCCACACGATGAAGGTTCACAACTTCATCAATCGACTTACCTGTCTTATGCAGTACCCTTCGCCTGACCTCAATACTGCTCACACAGTGATTCCACCAAATGCGTGTAATGCTGTGAAGACACCTGTGATCAAAATACAGCAACCGCTTCATATCTTCTACTTTTAACAACCATGTCTCACAGACGCATAACACGACAGAACGAACTGCAGTGCATTATATTCGTCCTTTGATGGATAGTTGTATATCTCGTCAGTCTGCATCAGAGATGACGCAAGATGACAAATGTTAAAGTGGCCTTCTGTATCTGAGCTGATATTACGTCAGCAACCAGTCTGTTCGGGCTGTTGCAACTCTCAAGTAGGTGGTCGAC